TTGTGACTTTGGGAATTGAACTTACTGCTCAAGATCATAAAGCTAACAAGGAGCAAAGTATAGTCTCAGCCTAGTTCTTTGACCAAAACTCAAAGTTGATAGTAAGCATTTTTTTTTTTTAATCTTTCCATTGGGAGAAAATACCTAAGACTTTAAGGCACTTCCGATCATTACTATGTTTAATGCTTATAATAACCCTGATGTAATATTATGATACTACAAAAACTACTTTGCAAATATAAAAATTGAGCTATAATTGTTCGTTTGACCTGAACAAACTCTCACACATAGTAGTTGGCAAAGGTGGACTAAAATTCAGTCAATAAATATTAAATTCTCATTTTGAGGACTATTGGACACATATACAGCAAAGTGTGGTGTGGTGTTAATATGCATTTTTAAGAGATCTAAACCAACATTATTTATTTTCTTTCTCTTTTGCTTCTTTTTATCTCAATGTACAAAGAATCTTCAAATGGAGGAGACTGGAAATAATTTTCTGTTACTGAGAAAAAGTAGAACCTTAAAAAATTAAGATAATTTAAATTATTGATGTTTTAACTATAATACAATAGGAAAATTAATTGGAATGGTACCCTATAAAGAACTGAAAATACATTTGGGAAATATTTCAAGTTTTTCCAGATTATTCATTAATTTTACAGTTGTTATTTAAATAAAATAGTTATAGTGATTGACTCTATACACATGAAATACAAAATACTGTGTCTAATCCATGTTTTCTATGTGTTTATAATAATATTGATGTCAATTATTAATATATGCCCCAGTTTATAAAAATAGATAAATTGGGAACCATTAATGATCAAGACATTTTAAAACTGAAAGTTTAACTGTAATGTGAATTAAAAAATTAAAAATATTAAATTATTATGTACTGCAAAATAGCATGAACTTGCAGACATCGAATGGACCTATGCTATAGTAATCTCTTATATTTCTGTTTTACACTGTAATTAACTTTAGCAAAATAATATCCATTAGAATATTTTTCATAGGACATTTTTGACTTTATAATTTTCTAATGGTTAATTATAAAATTATTTTGATTTTATAATTGTTCAGGGGCTATAAGCAAAGCCTTTATATCCAGTTCCATTTTGTGAATTTTGAACTACTAAAACAATAAAAGCAATATATTATTATGGATTAATGACGATATTGTTGCCTTTATTTTTAAAAAACTGGCATAACTGTGACAAAATGTAGTTACCTTTAACACTGAAATATGTAGAGATTTCATTATTTTGAAGAAGGTAATTTCAAGCCTTTAATTTAAGTGAATTTTCTAGCAAGTGAAATTGTAAATACTTATTCATTAGTTTGATAACTATTTTTTAAAAATATCTATTGGTCAGAAACTGTACTAAGTACTGAAAATGCAGCATGAATAAAACGCATCCATTCCTTGTTCTCAGACAGTTTAAATATTACAGGAAAAGTTATAGGGCTGATGATTACAAATGCCTTTTATAACAATGGCAAGTTATAAGAAGAATACCTAACCTTCCTAGAGGTAACAATTTAAGCTAAATCTTGGAAAGGAAATTAGAATTATGTGGTTAAAAGGAACAAGGATTAGCTTCTCAGAGTACCTTTAGGGAGAAAAGAATACAGTGTTTGACTAATTAAAATAAATTGTGTTTTGCAAAATAATAGAGTGATTGTGAGAGTTACAAGATGAATTTGGAAATATGGAAAAAACCCAGATCATGTAGTTTCCTGTGGGTCCTCACCAAGTCTCTACTTTACTCTTAAAGGCATTGAGAAATCACTGAAAGCTTCAAAAGAGTCGAGTTAGATGACTGGATTTTTATTTATAAAAGTTCATTTTAACTACATTGTGGATAATAGATTAGAGGAGTACAATTTTTTTTTTTCTGAAATATCTAAAAAAAATAGTTTTGGGTTGTTTACCAACTTATTGAAAAAGTAACTTAAAAGGCTCACTCTCTGCATACACACTATAACTTCTTTAGTACTTTGATCAGAATTCATTTTACAAAATCTATCTTGTACAACTAGAATGGGTTTCTCTATGTCCTCGACTCTACTGCAGTGTCCTGCAGGAACCGGTCATGCATTATTTATCTTTATTTCCTCTAGAACAGAATCTGGTACGGAGTAAAGATTTTAGTCATTGTGTCTGAGCCAAAATTATTATTTTCAAAATAATACTGGTTTGATGTCAGCCATTTCCAGTTTAGAAATTTGGACCTGCTGGTAATCAAGTCTTAGAAGATAGTTTCATAACTAAGGGCATAGCTATATTTTGAGAACTTTAGTAAACCCTAAGCTATAGAACAATAGGTTTCCTCTACTGTTAACACTGATATTTTTGCCCATAATACTAAGAGATTATGTCTAGAGTGTAATAGATAAGTAGCAAACCAAAATCACTGAAATAGTAGTGAGAAGAAGAAACAGAAGAACCAATTTGAATTAAAAGAGATAGGTGATAAAAGTGTAACAATTTAAGTCACTGTCAACAATGATGAATACATTAAAAATGTGTTCTATATAATGTTTTACATCTAATTTAAAAAATAAATGAGGAATACATTTCCAAGGTACATGGCACCACTGAATGCATATTAAATTCAAAATCACCATTTTGTAAAGAATATGGGGAAAGGTAAAACAGGTATCAATCTCTCAAACAGCGCTAGGAGCTTATGATAACAACGGGGAAAGTTTGAGCACTGATTTGGAATCTACCCAGGAAGTACTCTTGATGCTTAATTAAAATTTACTTGAAGAAACTTAAAAATTTTATATGGAACCATTTTAAAATTATTTAATTTAATTTAATAGTTGACTATCACCTTTTCTATTTTCAGTCTGAATTATTTTTCCAAGTTATATAAAATTTTAATTTTTAACCACAAAGTGTCTCACACCACTTGATGGCAAACTTTGGCTAAAGCAGAAATAGTATTATTAGTTGGTTTTACGATAAACTTATGTCAGAAATTATCCTCCTTCTATATGATGGGTAATAATAATTTCCAGGTAGCCTACCAATATTAGCTCGTGAAGTTTTCCAAAGAGAATGAAAAAATAGTTTTTAACATTTTAATATAATTTCACCTACTTAAACTTTCTAGTAATAAGACAAAAACTGTTTACTTGATTGTGCAAATCAAAATTTTAACACGGTCCCTATATTCTTATGAATGAATATTTATAATAGGAAAGTGAATACGGAATCAAGGTGATATTGATTTAATCTTTTTGAGAAGACTATTACCAGTTAAAAATTCATTTTAGAATGTGCCTCGTTAAAGAGAATCAAAGTAAGTACTTTCAGTACAAATTCTAATGGAAACAAACTTCTGAGATATTTTTGTATGATTTTCAATTAATGTATGTAAAGATGTCTTGATTTCTATCCTTCTTGTGCTCTAAGTATTGAATGGCTCCCCATTACTTAAATCATGGTCTGTATAAACCATTCCTAATCACACTACAAAAACCATAGTCAGTTTAGAGAAAATATTTTGATATCTTTGAAATGTAGCAGATATTTTATACATGAAATATGTTCAATTAATGTTCTTACTGATACATATATTGATATAATTAAAGACCTTTTATTCTTTTACACTACATTGAATTTTTTTCCTAAACTTCTCTATGACACTTGCCACCAAGAAACAGAAAAATGTGTTTTCTAGACTTCTTTATTTTGTAAAAGGTAGGCTTATATTAATTGAGTAGAAAATTACCAATGTATGATGTGGTTTTATGTCATTTTTCTCTAAAAATAAATTTGACACTTAAAGACTACTTAAATTTTGGAGCCATAATATCAATGAATAGCTGTTACCTTTTCAAAATGGAAATCTTTCAATGCAATCATACGGGTCAGGCAAAGAATAAGCTATGTAAAATGATCACCAGACATAGTGTTTCTATGTTTCCCAATCAAACTGTACATATTCTCAAGTACTAACTAACATTTGCATAACATAAAACTATCATGCAAACGCCAAAAATTACTACATGGGATAAATCATCTATGGGTAAATATATGCACTTATTAATCAAAACTGGCTACTTTATTTTCCAGTTTCATGAACATCATAACTGGTATGGAATAATAATAGGTATTTGGTATTTGTTTTTACTGTCCTGTTTATGAATTATGTCTGTTCAAATTTTCCCCCTCCCTCTCCAACATTTGCATTGACTTTGACTTTTTAAATTTCAATTTCTATGCTTTCAAATTATTCCAGTTTTCGGTGTTACTATCCATATTTTTCAGCTACTGCAAACTTTTTCTTTTGCTTTCTACATCTTGGCTCTCTTTCCACTCATTCTCTAATTAGAATCATTACCAAAATATAGCTTTGGCTGTAACTAAATGGGCACAAGTAAAATAACATCCAATACCTCTATGAGTAACAACTGCAAGCTCTTTAGTTCTTTCTATCTGTTCAGCATGTCTTGGTCTTCTCCTGGTACTTTGTGTATCTGCTTGATGAGGAGAGAGCCCGTCCTTGGACGTGTTGGGGTCCAGACCTGAATTTCTGAGACTTGTAACTTGCACTCGCTGTTCCTCGGAAAGTCTATGGATGGTGACAGCTGTAACACTGGATACAGTAACATCTGCAGGTGTGCTAGCAACAGCAAGAGCACCAGTGGTAGTCCTGTTATGCTCCTCTAACTCACCAGTGGAGGTAGTGTGGGTCAATGTAGAAGAACCTGTGGGACACAGTAGCACTAGATGCTAACTTTTTCTTTTTAAATTTTGTTTATTTTTTCTGATAAGTTTAATCAGTCATATTCTCTTCTATTACCTTAAGGATAATCAACATGAAGAGGCAAAACACAAACACGCCAGTAAATTGTGAAGCACACTAGATCTGTTGGTTTGTTTGTATCAACCATTCTATGGATAGATATACACACAAAATACACCACATTTTAACTGTAATACATTGAAGGGAGCAGGTAAAAGAATAAACCCTTTATGTGGCCCTGAATCAATCTTCTAAAAAAATCTACAGATGAATTTCAGCAACAAATGCCTGGCAAGTGTCAGGTTTTGATGGAATGGGTAACTAGGTAACCACACTTTTCTCAAAAGTATGCTTTGAATAGTCTGCTATATCTCTTCAGAAATTCTGGGAAAAACATCAAAATTTTGTATTTTAAGACAAGCAAGTGAAGAAAAGAGAATTTAAAATCAAAGCCAAAATGAAAACAAATGATGGGAAAAAATGAGACATTAAAATAACCACTATATGACAATGTCTTTCTTAACCTCACTTGTCGTGAGCTCTCTAAGTACCTTAGAATTTACTGAGTTTTTAAAAATCAGTTAATAAGTTTTACTATTTTTACATAATGTTTTAGTTTAACCAATTCTGAACTAAATAAAATTAAGCAAATTATTTAATTTAGAAGTGGTTGAAAATTAACTATTAGTAAACAGCATGGAACTTTAATTCATACACACTAGTTGTAACTATTGGTTGGGAATTTCTAAATATCTCATAAGCATTCCATAGTGTGTATATATGTGCATGTGTATATAATATTACCACATTTTTATTCTAATTAAATATTTTTTAATAATTTAAAAGTATGTATTCAAAGTGTCAAACTAGGGTTTGCTTTTTCATTTTACTTTTTTTTTTTTTAAAGTTGTTCTTAGTGGTTCATAATACTTACATAATGAAAAAAAGTAACTTTATAAAAGAAGCATAAAATAGAATGGGAGTATATTTAAAAGGACATTGACAACTAAAGTCCTTAACAGCAACAACAGCAACAACAAAAATTATTGAATTTTGGAGTTGCAGCTACTAATTAGGAATCATAGTCAGATCCCGGTTGGAAAACTTCTGAATATTTTCTAAAGCCAATGAGTGGTATATGTTTTTATACATTTTTCTTCTCAACATTTCAAAATTCTGTTACCAATGTTTATTTAGCTATTTTAGATAAAAATGCATAGGGATATTTTAACCATTCTGAAAGAGTAAATAAAAGCAATGTCAATATGGTTTGAGAATACTCTGCCTTTCTTTTTTTTTTTTTTCCTCTTCTGCTGTAGGCAGGTGATTAGTAGCACTAATAATTCTGCTTTCTGCCTTAAATTCAAAAAGGAAGAAAGGAAGTCAAACCTGGAGCCCCTCATGCATAGGCAAACAGAAAAGCCCATTTCCGCCCCTAATTCTTCCAGGTTGAGTCATCATATCTGAATTTGATGTAGAAATTCAGAAGTACTAAATGATTATTGTATTTTGAAAGAGCCAAAAGTAAATAAGGTATGATGATTATCAAATTATTTTAAATATTTTAATATGTTTTTAAGCATGAATCAGAAAGCTTCTATTCAGTATTTATCCAAATTATTTTGTGAATAACCTATTTCATAGATCAGAATCTACGAAGTTCACACTGGTTATATAAATCAGACTGCAATATTTAGTCAGTTAATATTTGATAATAATTTTTAATCGCATAGTTAAGCAATAACTATGCTTGCACTATTAAAATACAGTAATTGAACTCATGGTAAGCTGTACATTTGTGATGCACAGTTTCATACATACATCACGATGAGCTCATGTGCTCATTACTATGAAACTTGATCCATATTATTCGCCTAGAGTTTAATTGAGCCTTTTATTTTTGAGAGGAATGTGAAGTCAGAGTAAAAACTAATACTTTAATATTTTTATAAACTCATCATAATTTCCCAACTTTCAGGTTTAACTTTAATAAAAGAAACTATTAACTATAAACATATGTTGGTAATTATAAGATAAATTTATGAGAAATAATGGAATTTATACTATGTCACATGTCTGAGCATGCCTACCTTTACTAAAGGGATGGATTAAATTATCATATTCCATCAGATTCCTTATGATTAATCTCAAATAATCTCTTGAATTTGAGTCAATAAATCTGAGATAATCCTTACGAACAGGCGTAGGGGGCTTAGGCTGCTTCTTTAATCACTCAAGACCTACAGACCAAATCCAGACACCCACTTTCTTGAAGACTTCGGGGGATAAACACAGTTCCAAACCAAATTTTGGAATTAGAACTGGTCTTTGGTAATGTCTAGACCCAGGGTTTTCTAGCAGTTCCAATCTTAAAATATTTAGCATAAGAGCTATACTTCCCACCAACAGTGATGATGATTCTGTAGTATTCCCTTAACCTAAATGCAGGACAGTGTTTAAGGCTGAAATAAAGCATTAAACCTCAGAATTTATTTAATAATCATAATCTAACCAGATATGTATTCCAACCAGGTATTTTACTAAACAGTTCTTATGTTTTACTTATATAGTGTATTCATATTCTTTCCACACCATACTGGGATGCAAGCTTCCTGAAGGCTAAAATTTTTGTATATTGATTTCACTGATGAATCCCTAGCTCCTAGAACATTGCCTGGCACATAGTAGATGCTCGAGAAACATTTATCAGACGAAATAATAAATAAAGAATGAATTCAATAGGACTAAAATCAAATTAGCAATAATAAAAAGATACATTTCACAAATGGAATATGATTATAATTTTTGCCATGCAAAAGTCACATTTCAAGCAGTGACAAGAATGAAGAGCAATTTCAAAGCAGGGGAAACATAAAATTTTGGTTTTAACTTTCAAAAACATCACTTTGAAAAAGTGTGGAATCTGAACATTAAGTTGCATAAGTAATAATTACTTCAAAATTTTTGTTATTATTTCCCAAACAAAAGTTTAGTCTGTTAGTATAAAATAGATTTACGTAGAATATTCAAAATTGTGTAGAATTAAAAGGGGATATATCTCATGCTTACAGAAAGTATAAATGCATCTAAACTTAGTTAGATGTGCTTGATACATACAGTGGAACTATAAAGAAATAACACTGATTTCCTTTTTAAGGTAATAAAGTCATCCATTACCATAAAGTTATGTCATATATTGCATTTACCATTTTATTTTAATATAAACAATTTGAAATACTGATATTGGTAATATTTTAAATTGGTGTGTATGAAACACGGACTTTTAAATTGTCAAAATTCACCACTTAACAGTTTTAAATTACTCAAAATTTTTGCGTACACAACTATTTTATTAAGTAATTGCCAATGCTGGAAAAAGCCTTAGAATTATGTATAGCAATAATTCAATATTAAATATACACATAGCTATCTAATGTTAAAATGATATTTTACTTTCATTTATGAAAAAAATTAAGTATGCTATACAATTATGTAAGCATTGTCTGATAGCACAGTTAAATGTATATATTACAAGACATAAAACTCAAAGGAAGAAAATGTACATTCAGAAAGCTCATTCTTCATTTGACATCAAATGATATATACAAGGTGTAGTTTATCACAATTAGATTATCCTGTCATTAAGTTACTTGAGAAAAATTTAAAAATAAGATGTTCACAATATGAAAACATACCTGAAATATAATTTTAATAATACTATTTAACAAAACATTCCTGAACTAACAGAAATAAAATAAAAATGATTTACATATATAAACATGCTTCACTATGTCATAACTAGATGTCATCTTTGAAATTATGATGATGGAAAATCACGTTACACATGTAAGTTGGAAATTTTATTTAATAGTAATGCTACAATGTGAAATTTGAAACTTTATTATGTGTTTTCAAAAATTATTTGAAAGTTATTAATTTTAACAAAATATGTACCAAATAATACCTCATGATAGAATTTGAACTTTGATGAAATTTTGATTAAATTTTTTGTCCTATAGTTTTACAATTTTATGTTGTTTCTTTGTAATTATTTTCTAACTCATTACCAAAATAAAAAGCAGAATATATTGCTAGAGATATGGTGGATGACCCAAAATATATAAGAATATGTAAAAATAACTGCATATTCAAAGAAGTTTCTAGGTACTTATGTTTAGTACATTACTGTATGTAAATTAGTTTAATATATTCTGTTCCTTTAATTTTAGTGTTTCATATGAAACATTTGAATGGAAATTTAACAAAATAGTAATAATTTTGTGACATTGTGATATGTAATAAAGTAAAATGCCATAAATGTTTAACATTAAAACATCCAAAATAAAAACTATGTATACACAAATAACACCAACATAAAGTCTAAGTACTATGACTAATTTGATTCAAGCCATCATCTGGATAGTCATTAGCATATGTAATTCAATGTTTGTTATATTTTTTCTTCTTTTCTTTAATATGACTTCTGTGAAACTTATAGGAAAACATACCAATAAATGAGGACACTTGTAAACTAATTGAATATGAGGGTATAAAGTGAAACAAAGCTCTGATTTGTTACATTTTTAAAAATTCACAGTTTTCATTAAGCATATGCTAGCTGCGAAAATAATTGAAATATTTTGCTTTTTAAAAAGTGTTAATTTCAGTATTTTAAAATCTGGCTACCCTAGTATTCAATAGTTTAAACTGGTAGATGGGTGCAAACTATGAATATGGAATTTAGAAAAGAGATGGATTAACTGGAAGTAGCCCTTAAAACTGTAGGAGAAATAGAAATGTTTTACCTTTGATTAATTGTTATTAAGTATAAAATTATCTTTCTGACTAGGAGAATTTTAAGTAAATCCCGGAAAAGAACTAGTTTCTAATTTTCAAAAAATATATATCTATATTGGTCTTACAAAATTTGATCTCAAATCAAAATGCTGTATTTATGTTGAA